ATCGCTCACTGAACTACCGCTGACAATTGAGTTTCACTAAATAACACTTAATACAAGTACGAGTAGTAACAATATGACCTTATATTACAAATATGTTTAAACTCTTTAGTTTAACATGTTTCCTTTCTTGCTCTGTTACGTCCATCATGTGATTAACCTTCAAATATTCCTGTAGAACCCTTGAGTATTCGTCCTTTAATTATTACTTTTTGCTAACCTTGCTTCTAACCCTTTAAGTCTTTTTTAGCTATTCCCTTGGATTACCCCCTTTTTGACTTAAAACTATTTTCAACTTATTAACTTATACGAGCCCCGATGCAAAATAGTTCGTCTAGTATGGAAAGTAGTGCAAAGCGTAAAATATAGAAAGTAAATATTGGTAAAATAATTAAGAACGTTTAATAAAAAGTAAACCACAATTTGAGGAACATTTTAAAGTTGACTTTATTTCTAATAAGATCACTTAAATATAACAACAACAATTTTTAAAGCTAATAAAAGGTGCAAGAAAGTGAAAAATAAGGGAGGAAATTCTAGTATCTAGTACAAAAATAAAAATTAAATAAAATTAAGTTAGAATATTTACAACATTAACACTATCTATATACAAGCATCAAAAAATACCTCCGCATCATCGCCTACTGGTAGCGTTCCCAGAAGACTGGCAGCATTGCCACGTTCAATGGCAATGCTAATTCTCTGTGCTAGAAAAAGACCAGCCTGCTGATCACGAGAAGTGTCAATCAGTAGTTTAGCTAGCTGTTTATATATAGTACGAGCACTTGGACCCCATGACCCTAAAGTTTCGACCCCAAACGGTTCAAAAATGTAATTTCCTACTAAATTCTGATATTTACGCTGTTTGAGGGTTTCTGTAGATGCAGCAGCAGCGCCGGCGTAACCAGCAGTGCTTGGCAAATGTGATGGCGCAAGGGTGTCGATGCAGGTTGCGTCCCACACCTAAGGCTTACCCATCTTCCATGGCAGTAACGACATACCGTCCGGTCTCTTCCCATCGTCTCGAACCAGACCATTGGGTTCACGTACAGCTGGAACGCCGGCGGTAACAAGAGCCCGACAGATAATGTCGTTAATATTGGCATGTCGAGATATACGGCCAGCGCTTCTGCTACAAGTAAGGCCATGATGTCCAAGACTGTCAACAGCTTCTCCGCAGTGACAAAGATGCGGAGAAACACAAGGCGCACCTAAACGAAGACAAGTGGCAAGGCGAAATGTAATATCGTCCAACAAAGTGCCTATGTTGGGCGATGGAAGTGCCTGAATCCATAAGCCTGATTCCCATTCTCCCACAGCTAACAAACGAGCACTCATACTTTCTCACTCATACTTTGCTGTATTGATCAATGTTTTTTGTTTTAAAATACATAGTGGCGCGTCCCATTGTCTCTGAGAGGATGGATTAACAGGTAATATTGTATTGGGACAAGCTATCCGCCTGGCATGTATGGCGTCGGCCTTGTAAGACACTTCAGAATCAACCAGTGTGCTTATTAGAATTTTCCTGGTTAACTCTTCTGTGCCATGGACCGAAGACAGAAATGCTGGAAGGCTGACATCTACAATTTTGCGTACTCCAAGACCACCCAGACGAACTGGTAAGGATGCTTGGAGCCAGATTCGATCATTAAAAGCTAAATTCAACACTTTACTGAGAGTGTTTTGAATAATTTTGTCAACTTTTTCTAAAAGTGATGGGTGTTTCCAAAGTGGGGATGACCGAAGTGCATGTATAAATTTAGGTAAAAAAGACAAAAACGGAGTATAGTAAAAGCCGAATGGACATTAATTTTAAGTAAAAGATCCGAAAAATCACCCAAAAATTTTAATTTTGTCCTCTATAAAAGATTGAAAACCATCTTCCAAGACTGGACATCCAAGAAGGCGAAGAGAATTTTTTTCTAAAAGTTTAATGTTGGGTGCTAATGAATTGAATTTTTGTACAGTCGCGAGTCTGTCTGTATTGTCACAAATAAAAATTTCGCATTTGTCAGAGTTGAGTTCTAAGCCAATGGATCTAAATTTATTTTTTATAAAAGATAAATCTTTTAAAACTGTATCTACTTCCCCTCCTAGAGTTCCATCGTCAAGGTACCAAATGTTAAATTTAGACTTTACCTGCTCAATAATAGGGTGTATTGCTAAACTGAAGATAAGTGGTCCCAAAGGATCACCTTGTTGACATCCGACGGCCGAGTCCAAAAGATTATCCTTGTAAATAAGTTTTGTTGGATATCTATAACATTGCCAAGGAAATTTATAAATATCAGGGGTTTCCAATTTTGCTTGGGTCAACAAAATGTCCCTATTAACAGAATTAAAGGCATTCCTCAGGTCAACCTTCAAGATAACCTCGGCATTCTGACTGCCAAGGTACGTGGCAGCCTCACAACTACCTTTCGAGCCAAAACCAAGTTGTAATGGTTGAAATTTTGCTGCAAGTTCAGCGCTGTAATATTTGCAACAAATTTTGGCTACCATACGTCGCAAGGTACACCCTACGGCAATCGGACGAATGCCACCATCGTTCTTACGTAGGGCACATAAGTTGGCTCCATACAAAATATCAATGATGCCATCGACCACATTGCAAGAGAGCATAAGATTCACTAAAGCCGTCAGCTCCTTCAAGAGAGCATCGCCAGCCTCTCCAGCACTGGAACAAACCAGATCTTTAGATGCTGTGGTGTCAAGCCGTCGAGACCGCCAGCAGATCCACTCCGAAAGGAACAAATGGCCGCTAGAACTTCCTTGGCAGTAACAATAAGATGTTCGCTATCGGTGGCAGGTGGTTCAGGAAAGGCGAGATCATCCTGAGGTGTGGGATGCTTATTCTTCAGGCCTGCGACTGTTTCAGGCGAGTAAGGCGCTACCACATCGCTGCTAAAAAGCAGCCTAGCTGCTCCCCTTATATCACCTTCCCTTAGTTTTGTCTCAACGTAAGCAAAATTTTTGTGTTTATGATTACATAGAGTAGATAATTTTGGGTCAAAATAGGTAGTATTAAGGCAATTCTCTTTAATTTGGGTCGTAAAAGATTTTTGGGTACTATTTCTGGTACTATAAAATTCTATAAGGGAAGGTAAGTAGTTGTTTTAAAGTTTATTTTAACATAACTGAAATTCTTTCATGACTTTACATCTCATAATTTAAAAAAAAAATATTCTAAAAAACATAACGCAAAAGTATTCGTCTACTCTTGTCACTCACGCAAAATAGTTCGTCTACCTCTTAGTTGTATCGCCTTTGCTCTCAATGACAGCTTTAATGCGAAGAGGCATGGTTGCAACCAACGCTTCACACTCCTCAAGCGTATTTGACTCCCAGACAGCCAAGAGTTTAGCCTTTAAGTCGCTCTTCGATCTTGATGGATTTTTACAGAGAACTTTTTTCATTTTCCACCATAGAGTTTCGATCGGCGACAAGTCCGGGCTGTTAGATGGCCATTCGATTGTAGGGATGCTTTTCGCAAGTAGCCACGTCTTCGTTGTCCTTGCAGTATGGCAGGAAGCACCATCCTGTTGAAAAATGAAGGAATCTTGATGCTTAAGTGACGAAATAGAGGGCAGTAAATTCTCTTCCAAAAGGTTTTGATACCTTGCGGCATTGATAGAACCATCCACAAACTGCATACCACCAACACCTTGTGCAGACATGCAGCCTCCTATCATAAGAGACGCCGGAAACTTCACTCTGCGGTTGAGACAATTAGTATGAAATGCCTCATTTTTGTTGCGAATCACTTTTTTCCTTTCATCGCCGACTGTCACTTCAAATTCGGACTCGTCACACCAAATGATCGGAAGTTCAATTTAAATGATCCCGAGCAAACTTTTTCTTTTGTACAGCAGTTAACAGTGGTTTCTCCTTAGCGGTGTAAAATCCGTAACCCAATCTTTTTAGGACTCTTTTGCAAGTATCAACTGAGACGTCTTTGTGAATCATGTCCTTCCATTGCACCGTGAGTTCTCCAGCTCGAGCACGACGATTATTTTTGATAATTTTCTTTAGGATTTTGTTTTCTACTGCACTTGTGATGCGTGGTCGACCAGTTTTCTTCAAACAAGAAGTCATTCTATTCTTTTTATAGTGCTGAATGATAGATTGGACTGTAGACCTGGGAAGTATCAAGTCTTTAGATATTTTGTAACTTGATTTGCCAGCATCGACCCCACAAACTATTCGCTTTCGAAGTTCTTCACACACGGGTTTGCCACTGAAGTTAGTAAAAATCTCACAGAGAAAATTTCACACTAGACGAACTATTTTGCATCAGGGCTCTTAAATCTACCTCCCACCCTGACGTTGGCAGAATCATTGTAGTCCGATGGAGAAATTGAATTAAATAAAGAAGAAGTAATTCTGTGAGATATGGAACGCATTTCTTTTGCGGTAGGCATCACTACGGCTTACTTGTTAGAAAGAGATATATACATAAACTTTGTACGATAAAAAACGAGATAACAATGTAGACCACATCCCTTACGACTTTTACGAGGATCCCCGGTACTGAACGGAACTTAACGAATGAATGGTCGCCATATTGTCATGTCAATTTTGTAACAGTGAGTTCATTGTGCATTTTTACAAGACTTTTGTGGAAATATTGGATTTATAAGTTCATTGGTGTTTACAGGAGCTAAGGCAAGTATTTTATGATTTTAAATGAAATGTCAAACATATGAAACCATTAAAAACTGATGGTAAATTGAATACCAAACATTTTTATGAGGTCGGGTGTGGTATTGGTATTTAGTTCACAGAGATTTTGTTTGTTTTGTTGTAAACATTTCTAAGATATCTTAAAAGTATAAAACACGACATATACGGACTTATTTCTGTGATGTTAGTTGTCAAATCTATTTGTTTATCTATTCCTTTGAATCGATAGTAATGGCTGCGTAGCGATCGGCACAATCTAAACCTAATGTTTTTTTTCAACAGGCGGAGGGTGCATTGTTGCATCCTGTGTGTGAACCATGATACCATCATCTCGCACAAGTAAGTTCCTAACATGGCTTAACAATTCAATAGTGATAGGACAATTAATCAATAAATCGATGAATGTTCCTTGGCTACTATCATACATAAATATACGTTTATGCTGTGACTCATCTATATGTTTCACTAGAACTATAGAATTACATTTATTCTGAACCTAAATACTTCTATTTACTATATTTTATTTACTTGTTACTAATAGTGTAATATTTATAATAGTAAACAATCTCACTCACTTGCTTAAAATAAACTCAAATAGGTTATAGTCTGTATTTTGCTCTATATGTCAGGAGAAAGTTGAGGCTGAAATAAATTGCTCACATATATCAAAGCAATTCCTTTTATTTATTAGTACAAGGATCTGTCTAGGGCCCATCAAACTGAAAACATAATAAAACATTGCTGATATCATGAGCAAATTAATAATCTGATATGACATGTACTGACAATTTAGTTATGAGGGTTATAGAGTTATTTTTTTGGGTACCAGGGATTTCCTTTCTAGGATTCTCTTTATTCCCTGGCTATGGGTACCCGAAACCTTAAACCGGTTTTTGGACGGTTCGAATCCGACATATCCACACCATCGGTGAGTGGTGTATGTACATATAACCCTCGTAATTCATGTCATGTACTATTTTTAGTTAACTTGTAACATTTTGTAGACATTGCTTACTTAACTGATTCCCTTGATGTAAATTGCAGTGTCTCACAGCAACTACGCTGGGTCAGATGTGCCAATGGCACCAAGTAAGGAGCAGCAGACGCTTATGTGGCAGCAAAACTCATACCTGGTTGATTCAGGTATCAACTCTGGAGCTGCCACTCAGGTAACACCAACACGAGTAATCACTTCTACATAACTAGCAGATAAGAGTCATGTTACTTGAAATAAAATTAATTTCTTTTCTTAATAAGTACAGTGGTGGTTATGTAATTAAGAACAATTTCTAAGTACAGAAATTCTAAACTATTGTTTTATGTTTCACTTTGAAGTTATTATATAGTATTATGAAATATTCACATGATCATAACAAAAGGAATTAGGAATTAATTTCTGCAAAGAGAAAAATACATATTTTTTTAATACTTGGTACAAATACACATATCAACAAAGTCTAAGCAACATGTTTCATTTACAGAAGCTGCATGTTATTTTATTTTACCTTTGCAATGTAGATTTTTATACAATCTTTTTTGTTCTCGGAAATGTGTGCCGGCTGATTTATAAAATTTAAACTTTTTGATTGTGTTTTGTTTTCATTAAATTAAAAGCTAATTATCTTTTCCTCATTTCATGTATTTTCGTTGCTAGATAAATTTGGTATTTATCTCGCTTTTACCATTTTAAGAAATATAGTTTTTGAAAAAATTTAGTAGTGAGTAATTTTTTATATCATAGAGCAACACCATTTGACTGCTGATGAATTGCAGAGAACTGTAGAAATGCTAAAAGTGGGATGAAATCCCAGGTCTCTCTGCATTTTGGTGTCAATAGGAGCGTAATTTATGGTCTTTGGCAGTGTTATATTAATAAAGGGGATTGGCAATTGAAAACGTCCGGTTAATTCTATGCCCGGACCATTGCCAGACCTCAATCCCATCGAGCACACTTGAGACATGCTCCAGAGACTGTTCTAGAGAACCTGGAGGGAATGTCAACAGCGCAACAAATGAAAGATTTGTTAAAATTCCATTGAGAGTGATTGCCACAGGATCAGATAAATAATCTTATATATTCATTGAAAAAACTTTGCCAACAAGTTTTAAACAACAGAGGCGGTCACACTTTGTTTGATTTACTGAATAATTAAAAACAATGTTGTCATTAAATTTTGTAAAACATGAAACGTTTAGTTTCGTTTTAACTATATTTGATAGTACATAATTATGTTACGGTACACATATTGTTTATTATTGTAATTTTGTTGCTTTAGTCACTAATACAATAGTAAAAAGCCAATTCCAAATTTGCTTAGACTTTTTTGATGTCGATATGTATATAAATACAAAGGACACTGGCACATCTCTCTTGAATGTGGTGTGAAAACACTTCATTTAAAAACCGATCATCGATGAAATAAATTAATAATTTTTATACTTTATTTAATAACAACAAATACAAGATGGGACAGCATGTGGATCATTTCAACATGGGTATTTATCTTACCACAACTTTTCTTCTAAAAAACGTCTTAGACTATTGTCTTGATAATTTTTTCATTAAAACATAAAAGGCACCAAAATAAATAGAAAGTGTTTAAGTGTATTGTGCTACTTAAGTAAAAAAAATCTTATATCATGCATAAGCATTCTTAATTACATAACCACCAAAGTAAATTTCAGAGTTATGTATAAACAATGTTTATCTTAATAAAATATTAAAGTGAATAAACTCTCCTTTTAATGAAAACTATTTCTATTTACTACTTCCTTAATATCTTCTATCAATCATAAATTGTCATTTTCATGCTTTGGCTATAACTATAATTTTGTTTGTTATGTAAACAAAACAGTTGATGATTGATGAAACAAAACATGAACCATTGCTAAATATCCCCACGAGAATGAGTACAATTACATAAAGTCATGATAACCACTTCTATTATTCCATAGTTAATTTTCTTTGTTTTTATTTTTTTTCAACATACTACCCAACATGTGTATCAACATCAATCAAATGAAACAAAAAGCTATTTTCTTGTGTAGGTTCCATCCCTGACTGGCAAGGAAGATGATGAGATGGAAGGTGACCAGCTCATGTTTGATTTGGACCAAGGCTTCGCCCAGGGTTTTACCCAGGAGCAAGTTGATGGTAAGTAATTATGCATTTTTTTTACTTATTCACTTATTCATTGAGTATAAATTTAGGTTTGACCTCCAAACAACTGCAGTTATATTTTTTTTTTTTTGTTATACATTAATGAATAAATTATATAATAGGAACTAGAGAATAATCTCTACTAGAAGAACAGGCCTAATTTTGAACTTAATTCATAAACAGATTTTTTTGCTAGAGAATATTATGTGAAAAGAATGACAATCCTATTTATATTGGCCATAGAAATCTTAATCATAAATATATACTTACTATTTAAGTAACTTCAAAGTCTCTGTCTCAGAAGGTAGGTTCTCAGCTTAGTAATTTATTTTTGTTTGTTAGAAAAACTATATTTTTAATTTGAAAGGGTTAATCAAGGTGTTACTTTATTTATAGACATGAACCAACAGCTCTCCCAGACGCGTTCACAACGTGTCCGGGCAGCTATGTTCCCTGAGACCTTGGAGGAAGGCATTGAAATTCCTTCAACTCAACTGGACCCTGCTCAACCTACCGCAGTCCAACGCCTCGCTGAACCATCGCAAATGCTTAAGCATGCAGTAGTTAATTTGATCAACTACCAAGATGATGCCGACTTAGCTACTAGGTATGACCTAATGTTGACTTTAAAGAATCAAATGTTTTGTTTTCTTTATAGAATTGCTTAGCCACAATTATATATTTTACAGAAGTAGAGGTATAGATATCTCTCAGTCTCATAGACTTACATGCATGCAAAATTTTACAATAATTTTTTTTTTCTATTTTTTTTGTTTAAACTTGATAGTTTCCATTTTGACGAAATACTAAGGAAAAGTCTTTACATCTTTTTTTTCAAACAGTGCTTGAAGATATTACGTTACTTAATTACAGGGCAATACCAGAGTTGATCAAGCTTTTGAATGATGAAGATCAGGTAGTGGTATCTCAAGCTGCTATGATGGTTCATCAGCTCTCCAAAAAGGAAGCTTCTCGTCATGCAATCATGAACTCACCACAGATGGTCGCCGCTTTAGTGCGTGCTATTTCTAACAGCAACGATCTAGAGACAACCAAAGGTGCCGTTGGAACCTTACACAATTTATCGCACCACCGTCAAGGTTTGCTCGCCATTTTTAAGAGTGGTGGTATACCCGCTCTTGTTAAGCTGCTGAGTTCACCAGTCGAGTCTGTACTGTTCTATGCTATTACGACTCTCCATAATCTGCTTTTGCATCAGGATGGCTCCAAGATGGCCGTCCGTCTTGCTGGAGGTCTCCAAAAAATGGTTGCATTGCTTCAGAGGAACAATGTGAAGTTCCTTGCGATTGTGACAGATTGTCTTCAGATTCTGGCCTATGGAAATCAAGAGTCGAAGCTGATTATTCTGGCCTCACAAGGGCCTATCGAACTCGTACGAATCATGCGCTCATATGACTACGAAAAGTTACTGTGGACTACGTCAAGAGTATTAAAGGTGTGTTGAATTTCTTATTCAACAAATTACCAAATAAAAAACTTACATGTTCTTGTTAACTTTGCTTAATAACAACGTAAAAACAGCTTGACAAGACAATTGTATTGTAATTAAACTACATATGTACTTTGGTTCACAATACTATGATTTAGCATCTAACAGCTGATCTGATAAAATGATGATAAAATATTTTTAAACTGAATTTCAAGTTTTCTATATTTGTATTTATAAAAAACAAAAGAAGTGAGAGTGTATTGATTTAACTTAAACTTCTTTAGTCAATGTTTCAAATAAAAAAAGGAATAAATTGTGCTACTTAGTTGTCATATTTTGCTTCTAAAGTTATTTTGCTTGCTAAAGTTAAAATGTTTCTCACTGGTCTCGCCAAAGTATTCAAGTTCTAACTTAATGCTACAGAAATTTTAATATTCATAAACAACAAATTTCACAATCTACAAAAAAGTATTTAATTCTTTCAGGTACTGTCTGTATGCTCAAGTAACAAGCCGGCGATTGTGGAGGCTGGTGGTATGCAGGCCTTGGCGATGCACCTCGGTAATCCTAGCGGCCGCCTTGTCCAGAACTGCCTTTGGACCCTGAGGAATCTTTCCGACGCTGCTACTAAGGTAGATGTGAGGAATCAAGTGTTTTTATTATTTTTTGCTTGGGTGTATGCAAGAGCACATTTTTTCAAAGTTAGGTGGAGGTAACGAGTCTAATTCATCACTAGTACAATAATAAAAGAAAATGGCTCGTTAAAGGTTGTGGTTAAAAGTAGATATTTAAATTAATCTAAAATTATAACTGGTGTCACCGTAAATACCATTGGAATATGGATCTGTCTTGCGAGATTATAAACTGATGGTAGATTGTGAACTGTTAACAATTTTACACATTATTTTAAGGTAGATTATAAGCTATGAAATGAAACTGTCAAACTTTATTTTTTTAATAATAATTTATCGTCTTTCTCTGAGGCATGAAATTGATATATTTGCATGAACAAATATGACTGAACCTATGCAAAAAAAAAGAGTGAGCAGTTCATTTTCGGTTTGCAATATTTTAACAGCTTACAATCTCGCAATATAGATTATAATCTAAGGGTATTTCCAATTTTATGGTGATATACATATATGCCTAAAGATAGTATAAATATATATAATATAGTATATATATATATAAATAAACCAGTATTTAAAGTACCAAGTATCTTTAAACCTTTTGTATCCATAGTGCAAAGTAGAGTCCTAAGGTATAAGTAAATATAGAGTTAAATATTCATTCATCTAATGTTACTCCAATAACATTAAACTTTGTACTTGCCTCATAGTAAGTAAGTTTTCAGCATCATCAACAGCCTTTAACAGTCCACTGCTGGACATAGACCTCTCCTTAGTAAGCTTTGCATGTACTTATTATCTTTCCTAGCATTTAAGTATAGATTGTTCTTAGTATAGAGTAATTTTGGTAAGGTTGTGGGTTGTAATTAATGTAAGATTGTAATTGTCATCAAATTGAAATTGTTAGAAATATTTGACAAATTAAGTCTTCTGAAATACGATTACCTGAACCAAGCTTTTTTAAAATTACATTGAAAATGTTTTGTGTGTAAATTTCGATTGTAAATTATGTGTAGAAGTTTGTTGTACTTGTTGTCAGTTTAGCCTTTTTTTCATATCAAAACCAAAAAAAATTGATTTTAGTCATACAATCACTATAAATACAATAGTACATTTTCGTAGATGGACTAAATGTTATTATATATTTCGTATGTAAACAGGTTGAAGGTCTAGAAGGTTTGCTGCAAAGTCTGGTACAAGTTTTGGCCTCTACTGACGTGAACATTGTCACTTGTGCTGCTGGCATTCTATCCAATTTGACTTGCAACAACCAGCGTAATAAGGTAAGAAGGAGTGGGATAAATACAATTTTATGAGACATTAAGTTTCTATTTTTCTTTATGAATACAGTGGCTCGTACGAATTATAGTCATGAGTGTAAAACTCCAATAATAAGGTACTTCCATACGTTTACAACTTATTAGAGATGCAATTCCACAAAGTCGGATTTCATAGTTGAGTGAGATCCAGCATAATTTTTGACCTTGCTGAATTTCAGAACAGCATATGGACAGAAATGCAACTAAAGTAAGACAGTCAATTTTTGGGATACTTGAAACTGATGACTGAGTGAAAAATATTTGTAGTGAAACGAAACAAGTACATAGCTCTAACAAACATTGAGATTCTCTTATTGTTTGTTAACGATACCAGATTTTTGAATCAAATCGATGACATTTCACCAAAAATCGATTCGGTTATGATACCGGACTGTTCTTCGTATACAAGTATAATAGAGTCGGTATAGTGACGTTGTAGTGTTACGGTGTGTGTGCGATTTGTGCAGGTGACGGTGTGCCAGGCGGGCGGCGTGGACGCGCTGGTGCGCACCGTGGTGTCGGCGGGCGACCGCGAGGAGATCACCGAGCCCGCCGTGTGCGCGCTGCGCCACCTCACGTCGCGCCACGTCGAGAGCGAGATGGCGCAGAACGCCGTGCGCCTCCACTACGGGTTGCCGGTAACCTTCCTTGCTAATAATTGTCTCCGCACGAAATGATTCACTTCTTCGTTGTTATCGTTCAATTAAAGTTTTAAATATTATTTACATGTGAATTATGTACGTATGTAACTAGCTAATTATTTATGTATGTGTATTTATCTCGTTGTTGCTGTCGAATTTGTCAATAATTTTTTCTTACTTTACACATCGATGTCACACATCGATGTGTACACATATTTCAGCACCACACTAAGGTATACTGGGAGAAAATATTTGTGCATAAAAAATAAAATAAATAAATAAAAAGGCAATTTATCTATTGTTTTTAGACTTGTTGGCCTTTTATGTGGGTGTTGTTAACAGAACTTCTTCTAATATTATCTTTAAAGTATATTTCTACTGAGAAAGTTATACTTTTTTTGAAACCAGTGACAAATAAACAATGAGAAAAAAATGAGGATAAGGATTCTATTCGCTACTATCGGTTGTCGTTCAACATTAGTCAATACTGGTAATCGTTAAAGGCCAATACTGGATGTAGCAATCACACACCTTCTTTTCTGGTTGTGAAAGGTTTCGTGCGGGCCAATCGCGACGTCGAACGCGGTCGCCGTCGACGATCGAGTCGATGTAAAATAAACTCGTCCAAGACTCCCATCACGTTTTATCGTGCAGGTGATAGTGAAGCTGCTGCAGCCGCCGTCGCGCTGGCCGCTGGTGAAGGCGGTGGTGGGGCTGGTGCGCAACCTGGCGCTGTGCCCCGCCAACTACGCGCCGCTGCGCGAGCACGGCGCCGTGCACCACCTCGTGCGCCTGCTCATGCGCGCCTTCAACGACACGCAGAGGGTACCGCCTCTTATAATCATTACAAATATACCTTTATTTTGAAAACAAAAACTATTTTACATACTACGTTTATATCGATGATGTCCGTAGTAACAATAAAACGGTGCCACATAGTCACTTATCAAAAGCAAGATAAAACTAGTTTTTACTAGACGCATCAAGTATCAATGCTGTGTATGACATTAAATGGTAGAATATGACATGACATTTAAATCGTGGAGTATGGCTCCTTATTTTAAATTGTAAAAAAAAAACGTTTTTTTAAATACGCACAGTAACTTTATTCGTGATGTGATATTACACGTATTCATAATATTAGTCTTTTTATAATGAAGTGGATATTGTATTTCAAAAAATATCTTAATGTAACATAGAGTCGAGGGTTAATTTTTGCATTTAATTTCGAAATTTGATTGATGTAAACGGCTAATGACGGTGCTATAGCATAAGCTAAATCTAGTGAAAAAAAAAAACAAATTATGTTAAATTCACGCAACTAAATATCGAGTTGCTAATTCGTCATGACTTCGACATCATAAATTATTGCGATTTTGTCAAGTTCGGCTAATATTTTTGCAAAACAAAAATTAAAATCGCCCTTTTTTTAAAGACTTTATTATTGGTAGATTTTTAATTACTGCTATTATAAAAAACCGTCATCTCTAATTTTTTTGTATCCCTATTTTAAGTAAAATATGTGTGAAATTTTCACTACAGACAGAAGTTAATAATAAAATGTCAATAGGGAATATGCATGTATTTTTTTTAACGATTCTACTAGTTATTACATTACCAAAAATAAATATAACACATCCGAAATATAAACCGTTAAGCAAAAAAAAAATTATTAAAATCACTATCATTTTGGGGCAATTTGAACACGTCCATTTTGGCGCGCTTTTTTGTGACGTCAGATTACACTTTCAGACGAATTCGATGTCAACAACGGAGTGAAGTTCACAAAGTTAAAAAAGTGAGTGATAAAAATTAACTTATTACCATGGAAAGCCAATAACTTATTATAAATATTGTGCCGTTCCTTTGTGCCCAAATAATATCAAAACTGCACCTGACAAAGTATATTCAGTCATTGTGTTGAGTCTTTCTACACGGGAATTTAATAATTTAACACTGAAAACGTATTAGTTATTAACTTAAAACGAAACAAATAATCACCAGAAACCAAATATTGCAAATACACACAACTTGTTGACACTCTTGACAGTGTAGGTTGACGTCACGTCTTATTCAACCAATAGCGTTGCGTTTTAGAAATTTGCGAGGGAACCTTGAAAAAGCCAATTTTTGATGATTAAATTTCACTATTAAATTATAATAAATTTCAAAAATAATTGTATGGGTATCTTTTTTTAGCAATAAAAATTACAAATAAAAATATTTTGTCCAGTTTGGTGTCGTCACGTGCATATTCCCTATTTTGTAATTTATGAAACAATATTAACATTTTTATATTGCGTATCACCATTATATCCCTGCCAATACTACAGATGCAAATGTAAATTGCTAAATCGATTTTTAATGAATTTTGGCATGGAGATATTTAGATTGATGAGGCAGGTTTTATGACCGTAATTAGTGTAAATACTGAGTGGGAGTTCACGTGGGTGTTGCAGCAGCGCACGTCGTCGGGCGGCGGCGCCGGCGGCGGCGCGGGCGGCGCGTACGCGGACGGCGTGCGCATGGAGGAGATCGTCGAGGGAGCCGTCGGCGCGCTGCACATCCTCGCGCGCGAGGCGCTCAACCGCCAGCTCATCCGCCAGCAGAACGTCATCCCCATCTTCGTGCAGCTGCTCTTCAACGAGATCGAGAACATACAGGTACCTGTACCCACCGTCCGTTTTCTAAATCATAATCTGTTCGTTTAATGAACTTCTTACCTAGATTACTGACGTTATCCTTCTAAGTAAATGTATATATACCAGGAATTTGATATAGTATAAATTGTAAGTTACAGGTCCTTCGGTCAGTTGAAATTCGATCAAATTCTTATTATTATTATGACATAATTATAAGTGATAATTCCCAATATCGTCAGAATCGAGTTATAAATACAAGTGTCTTATTGTCTTCTGTTTGTTAGCTGATTACTTTTGTAACGAGTAGCTTGTTTCTTGTAGCGCGTCGCTGCAGGAGTGCTCTGTGAGTTGGCCGTGGAGAAGGAAGGCGCTGAGATGATAGAAGCCGAAGGGGCCACTGCTCCTCTCACTGAACTGTTACACTCTCGAAATGAAGGTACATATTGAATATCTCATTAGCATATAATAATGGTCTCTATTTTAACAACCCTCATGGTTTTTAAATGTATCCATAAATATATTTAAAGATCATGATATCGATATATGTATGTGTGCTGTAATCCTCAGTTTTAAGAACATGATGTTTATCATGACTAATCGAAATATTTTATGTCAAATTGGCTCATCATCAACAGCCTTTACTACATATTGCTGGACATAGGCATCTCCCTGGAAAGGAGAATAACATGTAACAATCATCAAACATAATTATAAGCAGGCCTGTTTGTCTAGTAGTTAGTGGTACTGGCTACTAAGCCAGTGGTCGTGGATTGGATTTCCATCCAGGACAATTAATTCAATTTAGGTATGTTTATCAGCAGTCTTAAGGCCAATTCTCGTAATAAAAGTTTGGTCGGTCACAATTCAGTTCTGATCAACTTTCGATCCCACAACTGTTATACAAGGCATTTTCGTAGTAAAGTATTAAATATCCAACGTTGACTGCAATGTGATTATATCGTATTAGAACCGAAAATTGAATTGGTCACCTACTAGTCTTAATAATACTTTACCATTTTACTGCAAAAATATCTTTTATGACAGTTGTGAGATCAACAGTTGATCGGAACTGAATTGAGACCGACCTTTTATTACGAGAATTGGCCTTCTGGTCCCCATAGCACAGACTCTGCCTGGTTTGGGATCAGACAGTCATGTGTGAGATGTGTGCGCTTGTAAAAATACATTCAAGCTCATTTAATTGGTTCGTCAATTAATTTTAAGTTATTTCCAATTACAGGGGTAGCCACATATGCAGCTGCTGTACTGTTCCGCATGTCTGAAGATAAGCCTCATGACTACAAGAAGAGACTCTCTATGGAGCTTACAAATTCACTGTTCCGTGATGATCATCAAATGTGGCCCAATGACTTGGCCATGCAGCCTGATCTGCAGGTAACACAGAATTACTCATTTGTTAGTAGATCACATCAGCTAAAGGCTAGATAAGCAAATTGTATAAAGGAACTTGCATACAATGTAAACAAGATTATATCTAATAGACAATTAATTTATATTACAAACTCTTTGGTGCCATATTAATTTGAACAAATACTCTGTGTCATCCGTATCAATTCGTTATTGTCTGCAAGTCCATTATGTTAATGGTTTAATGTTAAAGTGATTTATGTGTAACTGCTTATTATAAATTATTTTTTTTAATAAAATTCGGCTTGTTATAATTTTTTAATTTGTAAAGATTGTTGATTTGATCAAAAAACAAAGTTTTGTTGATAAAAAATGATTTAAAAGGAGAATTTTATCTTAAGCATTTAAATTAATACTTACAGACATTAATTCAAATAATTGATGAGTATGATAGTTACCTACATAGAAATTTTTAAAAATAGAGTATTATTATGACAACTTTGAGACAAATCAACATCCAAACACTTGAATGCACAGAAGTTTAAACATTGTTATAACATGTTTCTGAGCATTTAAATTTGAAATTGAAATGTATTTCGCAAATGTGATTTTGCATTGTGTATGTCGCTTACACCCTTTTTACTTTATAGTTTTTGTTCTTAATTTGTTTTTCGACATCCTCACTTTATTTGATTTTTGATCCTATTCCCCTTTATTAGGATATGCTCGGACCAGAACAGGGCTATGAAGGGCTGTATGGTACTCGACCGTCGTTTCACCAGCAAGGTAAGAGTTGGGATTGTGTTTGTAGCAAGTTTGGTCAACTAACACTCTATCACTTGTAGTACAGATGTTACAAAACCTCACTCAATACAAAGTAGCAATCTATACTTGAGTCAAACCAAGGAATATTTACATATTTTGATAAATGTAGCTTTTGTTATATAATAACATTTACCACATGCACGATTTATTTATGCACATAAATACCCTAAATCTAAGTCGATCTAAGACCGATTTACGTAAACAAAGTGATAGTTTAGTTTAGTGATATGTTTATGTAAAATATGATTATCTTTTTTCTTATCCTTGTCCTAATAATTTTCTTAAGATGATTACAACGGTCTCTTCATCGCCGCTCATGCGTTATTGCATTGCGAGCTTTATAGTGGTTATTTTGTAAATTCTTGCAGAAATATTACTTTAAAATTTCTTGCTTACTTACATACATTAATGTAGTACTATTTGATCCTACATAATCTATTCACTTGATTTTTGTACATGATAACGAGTTTCTTTGTAAATACACATACTTACATGTAATTTGTTACAGACTGATTTGCTTTAAATGCCCTCTTTCTGACTCAGTGTTCATTAGCAACTAGCTTATATTCATTTTAGAACACTCTAAAATCCTTCTAGATATAAATATATATGTATATGATCTATCACGGTGACTGTTAAGAAGTCTTAAATGTCAACTACACGATTTCAGATCTCTTTTCATATCTCTATAATTACTTATCCTTCCTGTGGCCTTTAAATAGCTAATCTATTATACATACGTAGTTGCAAACTTTTGGCTCACATATACATTACTTCATTATATCCTAATAATATAAAAACTAACAATGGCATTATATTGAATTGGTATATAATATACTATATTCACTGTAGCCACAATAAGAAAACGTATTAGACTAATTTTTTTGTTGTCATTTAAGAAAAGGTCAGTGTATTGAGTCTACAGTGAGATGGCCTATGGCACACTTGGATTGATTTTTAAAGTTTTTATAAGTATAATACATCAATATCATATAAAGTATGAAATATCAGCTCGTTGAATATCAGCTAATATACATTCACTACAGATTGTTAAATCTAACCGTTAGTGTATAGATAACTTTATACAAATGACAGCAAGCAAAAGATTTCACTCCGTATACTTAGTGTTATGACTTTGAAAACAGTTAGGTTGTGTAATATCTATATTTACTTTAAGAAGCATTTTCGTTCTGTAATTTCCGATACAAAAATGCTTTTCAATATTATTGTCTATCAAGCACTGTTATATTCCTACCATACTATAAGATTTTAAGGTGTCTGTATAAAAATTGTTTCTTCTCTTCTTTACACGCAGCTTAACCCGGGACCTATATATCACTAAACACAGGTGATGGGAATATTATTTCTATTGGTTTCGTGTTCTAACATTCTTATTATGTATTTGTGTTTTATATTGACGCGATGTAACAGGTTTGTTAATTGCTATTTGCATGTGACATTAACGGATTATAATCGTACATGTATCTTAAATACTCATATTCGTTACTAACTCTGGTAAGTATATCATTTTTTTTTTTTTAAATGTGTTTATACACATATTATTTGGTTATTTTCTATTTTAATCGGGATGTAGTAGTCTGAAATAAGCAATAATTATGTATGTCATCTATTCTATAAAATCTTTCACGAATAAGAAGTCATGGACTGGCATACGTTGTATTATCTTTTGTTTTTCTCTTTAAAATAGACGTCAATCAGGAATTCTCTATAGTGTAAAAAATAATTATCGTCGAGGTTTTTCGGCCGTGATCTAAAATTTAGTACAGTATACCTATTGTTTACGGTGAAGGCTCTCACTGTTTATTTAAAATTCTAACATACATTAGCTTTTGCCACATGCGTTGAAGCTATTCTTTGTATCTTTCGGGAATACACTTTTTTTAAGATAAAGATATACAATTTTATCTGTACACCTGACAACTTGTATGGAAAATTCCATCATGATTGGCTGAGTCTTTAACGAGCGAAAGCGTAACAAGTAAACTTACATAAGCATTTATATTGATTGACTACCTACATAGTATCAAATATGTCGTAATTCGTGAAAACAGACTTCTTCCAGAGAGCGTTCTTGAAAAGGAATTCAGAAATTACAATCTAATATTTATTTTATTACTTAGTTGTGAATTGCTGTTTAATGTACCTGCTTATGTGACAGCCTCAAACTTAAATTTTCAAGGGATGGTGGTTCCTAGACACTGTTCATTCGGTTCAAAACAAACAGCTGAGTCATTCATTAAGTTTATCATACATACCATATGAGATTTTGATTGTGGCTATAACTAAATGGCTTCATCCTCGTTTAAGCAAGGCGTTAATGTTAATACCTGACTTAATTTTATTCCATTCATTAACAGCTATGTTATGTGTGACCCTCTAAAACTTTTCAGATCCCCTTCCCTTTGTCTTACTTCCACAAAAAAAACCTATAGATACCTACTTTCATAGTTAAAAAACTTACCTGTTAATGGTTTGCAGGCTACGATCAAATACCGATAGACTCGATGCAGGGACTGGAAATTGGCAGTGGCTTTGGAATGGATATGGATATTGGAGAGACGGAGGGAGCGGGAGCCGCGTCTGCTGACTTAGCGTTCCCTGAACCGCCGCATGACAACAGCAATGTCGCCGCCTGGTACGACACCGATCTTTAGGTTATATTTTCAAGTTTACGGTTTCTTTGTGTAACTTTTATATTTGTGTAAAGAATTTTAAACGTAACTGCAATAGCATCAACGACTGATAAGAACAACATTGTAACTTACGTTATAATAATAGTATAGTTATTTTATTTTATTTGTAACTACATGAAAGTTACAAGCTACACCTGTAAAGATTGGTTAGCGGAAAGCACACTTTCTGCGTAACTATTGATTTAAAAGTTAGAGAAATTAAAGCAAGCAGATTTAGTAGCAATGCCATCGAACTATACATGATCTTTTTAAACTGTGTTTACAGCGTAAAATGAGACAATTGCTATGTTATATTTTATTAATAAAGAGTGCCATTTTTAAAGTTTTGATGATTAATTAATTTAACCATTATCACCTATCTTTTTGTTTAGTTTAATTCTGATTGCTTTATAATTTCCCTGTGAGGCTAACAATGGCAGCCGTAAACTATACACTACTACTTCAGTTTTTAAAATTTGCAGAATGTTTAAGTATGCATAAATTATTTTTCTAGCGATATGTATTTCTATTATACATTGAATTTAATTTCGATTATGCCACCACCCCGTGTATATGATATATAATGGATTAATAATTATATTACAAACACTGTACTGTCGCTCAGTTTCCATTCTACGCTAAGTTAGTCTTAGTCTAGTTTGGAGATAGTGAAAGTGACTAATTACATTTTACAAAGAGTTTATCACAATTTCAATGTAATGTGAATTCTGTGATCAAATAGCAGCTAATATGCATTTGCAGCCTAAAATACAGTACAAAATCTATAACGTTACCAAACTAATTCCGACTTTTGAAAATTACACTAAAAGCAAATCTTGTGAGTTTATTTATATTGGTGCTATAAAACAACAATTTTATATTGATTGCAAAGTTATGAACAAATTTTTTTGTTTTATTATTTGTTTATGTTTGAACTGAAAACATGATCGTCATATTAATAAATTGTAACGTGGCCCTGCATTGATTATATCGTAATTTTATACGCGTACGTATAAAATGCGTTTAATCGGAAAATAGGGTATTCTATGGTTAAGATTTTTATTATAGGCTTTAAAATCGTATTTCATAGTACATGTAATTTGAATTACTTCTGCGCATTTAAAGTATTGGATTGATTTAAGAACGAGATTTTGATTTATTTTAGTTTGTTACAATTTTGAATGAATCAATTATTTAAGTAAGTAATAAGACTGTTTGTTTGAGTGATTCATGTATTGGATTTTTAATTTTAGTGTTTGACTGCCAATTAATCTGCCCTTCATAGTTAAACAAGGCCAAATCTTAGGGTTGTAGAACAAAGGTCGATATGTGTACGATTTTTTATTATTGTAGGTATAAGTTTGTCAGGGGCGTTTTATTGCCGCAGATGTTAATTGGCTCGTGGTTGAGGGCTAATGTTGCGAGTACATTGCTGCGTGCACTGGCAGGCACCCACGAGCCGGGTAACAAATCCGCTGATGAATTGTCGCTATTAGTATTCGTTTATAAGGATGTGATGTTCTCCGGCGTAGATTAAGTAGTGAGATTAAGTATAACAAGAATTATGTATTTCATGTGGACTAATTACGAACCTTACTGATGTGAATGGGATACGTATGATTTTTGTTTTGTTTTCGATTATGTTACGAGCTGTACTTAACAGATTATATTTCACCATAGCATATCCATAATATTTGCACCTCTTATCATAATCGAATAACTAGTAATGCACTACAGTTAGAAGAATGTAACTTAGAATAATGTAATCGTTTAGTGTAAGGTTTATAATACTTTAATTGGTTGTCCACTTAGAATCCTCTTATATTTTATTTTTTTCTATTTCATATTTTAATCGACTTTGCGTATGTTTTTATATTGACTCGACTATGGAGACATTAGTAAAGTGTTACTATATGTGTCCATTTATGTATGGAAAATAAACTAAATTTAAATAAGTATCTGCTATTTTCTTTAAAAATCCACCTGAATCCATTCATCCTACAATTGCTAATGTATTATTACTAAGTACTCAGACTTACCATACTTAATTTGAAACTGCGGTGTTATCAAAAACAATGATTTATGTCAAAGAGCAATCAATGCTGGTTGTATGTTCGTAAAGTATTGTAGCATTGTTTTTTAAACTTATTTATTAACTAATAAAAGATGTGTAGTAGTAAAATGACTAGCAGTCCAAAAAAACCATGAGGTTTGTCCTGATTACCATACATTCTTCATAGGTAACCGCTTAAATAACAATTTGAAGAATAAAAAAAAGCAAGTTAGAGATTAAATCTGTAATAAAAATGGTTTAAAACACGTTTTCAGAATTAAACCTACATCTGCAACTATTGGAATTGATGCTTGCTATGTAGCTGTATTAAGTAAATACCTCTACGTATCACACTACTATTAAATTATAGAACGTAGTATACTAAAAGTATACAACAAAGCTACTATACTCAGAGATAGGTAGTTCAGTGTAATAAAAATATCATGTAGTCAAATTAATTCAAAATTCTTTTATTACAATATTAAACCTAATACAATGAATATATAAGGAGTTTTTATACAAGTACATTATAGGCTTAAAACTAAGGTGTCGCAACTAAAACTGTTTCTTCATACATAATGTGTTAAATAACATTTTTGTGGCGATTAGACCAGACCGATATTCATATCGACACTTAAAAAGTGAATCGAAACCTTACTATGCGACACAAGTACCTACTAAAATGAGTTATACGAGAATGTACATACTGAAAACATAAATATACATTACAATAAAAATTTCTCGCACATGTAAGAGATTTCTCAAGAGAGGATACACATATAGGTATCAATATTTCCACGCGCCCTAAACTTTGAACAATACATGATCAGCAAAAGACACCACCTACATAACTGTCACACCACAAATTGTTGTCGCGTAGTCGAACGACCACAGTGCCACGCAACTTTGCTACCTTTGTCCTGGCATTATTATACGCAATTAGCATCTAGACCGAGGCATGCGCCACTAATCTTGCACCAACTTCGAAGTCTCGCTACAGTTAGAAGCTTCTAATTGCGCTATTAGTCGAAGGTAAGACGTGTGGTTTAGTCTGTGTAAGATGCAGGTGCACTAACAAAGCAAGTTAGCGCTCAGATGGCGTTTACCAATATTTGTGAAATGATGTGGTCAGTATAACACCATTATTGATATTCATAAGTAGTTCAGAGTTTGGAAGAGAATGTAATAGGGCCAATATTTACGCAATATCTTCGATACGACTAGAAAATCTCATTGCTTGCTACTTACTATTTGATTGCGAACTGATTGTAAATATTTAAAAAACCAATTGGAAAAGGTTTATATTGTATTTTTAAGTTCGGTGTTGATATACAAGAACTTACTTCCTCCGAGCTTTTTTCCCAAACTAGGTTCGGGTCGACTTTAAGTCTACTGCGATACGGCTGAACTGCGAATTTAGTTTAGTTGTTTAATTTAGTTTGGAGCAACTGCCATCAACCCTCCACAATCGAAGTACTAGGCGATACTGGCTTTTTTTTTGGCGTTCAACTATCCGCCACGATTGCCATAGATGTTGATATTGCAACCGGAACCAGACGGTTTAACGTTCTTGCCGAGGTATGGAGGGGTCTCAATGTCTTCAACAAAGGTCACTCATCCATAGACTGACCTGGATAGGATTGCTTAACTTTACAATGTGTTAAACTACTCGGTTACCACTTAGTCACAAGCCCCTCTATGCCAATCGAGTCACGATGTTGGCATACAAGACCAAATAGGCTTTTAAATTAACTGGTAATATAACTTTAATATCTGTGTTTGAAAAATTATTACTCCGCACTGTATTGTATACAAGCCTTTAAAAAAATTACGATTACGAAAATAAGGTAACTAGGTACAAAAAATGCTTATAGGTATTAGATTAGAATTTTTTTTTTTCACATTTTGTCACATTTTTGTGCAGTACCTACCTATCTAAAAAAAAAAATAGATTCTGAAGAAATAATTTTAGAACTTGATCGGTCTATAACAAACTCTTAACATTGGTTTATCAGAACTGTGTTCGAGGTTTTTAAAGCATTTAAGATGGATGGACATACAGTATATTATTATTCAGTCTTGTAAATTGTTGAGTCTGTTATAAAAGTATCATATAGGTGATATAGGTATATGCATGTCATGACATAATATAAAGATACCATTAGGATGAGTTTAACATAATAGGTAGGTTCAGTTTAAATTATCCGTATCTTATATTCTTACTCTTAAATTATCCGTAGATCCTTAGTAGGTATAAACATCCTTATATACATAACATTCACACATAACACACATAATAAAAAAACTTTCGTGATTTGTGTTTTTTCAAGTTTCTTACAAAGATTACATGTTTTGAGTGAGTGATAAATCTTTAATCAAAGATAATATACATATGGGTTAGTCACTTTAAATACCTATTCCTTTAAGTCAAGTAATGTAATGAAATATAGAGCTATATTCTAATACGTTCGGGAGTTTCCGAATCACGACACATACCCTACAATCATCAACAAATTTACTCGTGTATGTTTAATATCAGCTAAATGCTTTTCGGTCTTTTCCCCCGTGACGATCACTGGTAATTTAACTTACATTCGAAACACCTTAAAACGTATCAATAAGCTCCATTTTCCCTTGTCATCGTGTGTGAACTTGTAATTATTAAGGAGTGAACTGTTGTCGATAATTATTGTTCGTGAACTTAGAGACTGCGTATAGTATCCACGTGAAATATGAAATTATCAGGTGTCTTAGTAAAATAAATGATAGGGTTAATTCTCTTGTCCTCGGCAATTAGTTGTGATTTATAAATGCGTTATAATTATTTTAAGGGTTTTAATGTTATAAGTAGTAGGAATAGATACTTCGATTACATATTCTCGTAAATCACACTCAGACACAACCAATGATCGTGCTCATCACACAACAATTTTTTCTGGGAGAGACTCAACCCCCTGACCTCTTGTTTAGCTGTTGGGATGATTTACCATTAGATCACTACCATTAGATTTTATAATAAAATTGATTAACTAAGTATTTGTTAAGAAATAGTTTATACACGTGCTACACATGTAACAACAAGAAATTGGGTATTAAGTACAACAACAATATTATTCCGGTCTTTTGTGTCTCCTCCGTGTCGATTTCATGAAATACTTAACGGATCTCACGTAGGTATACCTAAGGCAATCATTAGGTAAAAGACTTTTCACATTAAGCCTTTTATTATAAAACATGGATAACAGATTGTTTTAGTTAACAATATTTACAAATACACGATATTCTGCATGAAAGTTTAGTTATTTTCAGTGTAACCTGTTTTGTTGCGGCCGTATGTCCTCGCATACAAGACTGCATTTACTAAACGCTAGTCAAACTTTTTTCATTAGTTGTAGCACAGCCAGAATGTCCCATTGCGCTGTTCCCGTTTATTCCAGTTTGTATCACAATTACTTATTTGCAAAAATGCCTACGTTTATTATAGGTACCTATTTGTAATTAATTTTGTGTCGTAAGTATGTCAAGCTTTCTTGTGTATTTCGTATGTAGGTAGACTCTCAAAGCGTGAATGCTCAAAGCAATGAAACAAAACTATTCACTTTTGTTGTAGGTACGCCTTGTGTGAGGTCGAGGTCGGCCGGCACATTAGATACGAGGTATTTACTTGGTTACGGATCTGACAGGGGTCTTTTATCGAGGTATGAAGAGTCAAGACTGGCACTACACTTAACTTAATCGTTGTTCATGGAGGCAGAAATTTAAAGAAATAAACATAATAACCGTGACAAGTCAATATATATATGGAAATGTAATATATGTTTATAAAAACAAAGATAAGTTATTGAAAAGAAGTGATGGAATAAACTTGTTGTACCTAAACGTTGTGCGTAAAACTGCGGCCAGTATTTGTCCAAACAATTATTTGCAGCACTCTCCATTATAAAGACGATAGAGAATGTAGAGTGAAGCTAAATCCCTACGCAACGCCAAGGGGTCAAGACGTTTGGATATACCATGGCAGTTGACGATTTGATTCGCTCTCAGGTGAATTCGGTGCAGAGGGAGAGGCTGGTACGGGCGTGCCCCTGCATGATACAGATGAAAACAGTTATTCCATATGCGTCTGAACTTGCGTGTTATAGAGTTACAGGCGTTACCGTAGTAAAATACTGTCTCGATCTGTTCAGCATAACAAGCTTCTTCGAGGCTAATTGTATCTAAATGTTCTCAACGCCTAAAACGTGGAATTCTTTCCAATTTCCTAAAAGAGAACCAAGGTAGAATTCAGTATACATGCGATAACAAAGAAAACGTAAAAATGAAGAAGTTTCATGAGAAGAATTATTTTTTAAATTTTGTACCAAGCAAATATTTTTATGCAGATAATAGAGTTTGATCACTAGCTCTCGAGACTTATTACAGGTTACACAGTACAACCCCCGTCGTCTTCGTTTACGAGTGCTTAATAAACCTCAGTTTAGAGC